TTAAAATAAAAACATGTGTGTGTGTGGGGGGGAGGTGCAGGGTACAGTTCCAGTGGTTGTTTATATAATGGGGGGGGGGGGAAATTTCTGCCCCGGGCGCCCAGAACTCTGGTTACGCCACTGACCTTAGGGCCTAGGTGAACTGACTTTGGCCTTCTGTCGATTACATCAGTTTGTCATTAGTGTGAGTTCATGACGTCTGAGATCATTCAGAATTAATCTGACCAACAGTTGACCTTCTACTGACCTGTATTTGACCTGCTTCAAGCAGGTTTTAAATTCCCATAAATTTGTATAGGAATTCAAAACCTGTTTAAATCAAACAAAAGCCCATCAACACTGGTCGTTAAGTATGCCTTTCCAATTTTCTGAACGTTTGCTGAAATCTCTCGATTTGTGCAAAAGCTTCAGGAAAATTAAATCTCTAAATTTTTATCATTGCTATTCACAATCACTGTATAGTTTAGCATCTCAGATTTGGCTTGACTCCTATAGTTCACTTCTGATACTTTTTCCCTTAGTGCTCCATCATTGTTTGTTTTTTTTGCTCTAGATCCCGAGCTGTTGGTTTGCTGGATATCTTTTCTTCTTTTTTGTATGTCCCTTATTGTATGATAGATGACACATTACAATAGAAATGAGGCAGAGTAAGTAGGCACTTTTCTTGCTATGCATTTAAGACAACATGTTTTGTTGTTCTTGCTCCTCCAAAAAAAAATATTTTGAGAAAAAAAAACCAGAAGCTTGATGTCGAACAATGGTTTGTCTGAGGCAACTACAAATAATGTAAAAAGAGAAGCCAGGAAATCCATTGTATTATACTCACCCGCTCATTAATCACTCTTCTCCTCCCTCACCAGTCAGCTGGAGGTTTTTAGCCGGCACTTTTGATTTACTCAGCGTCCTTGTATTCTCGTGGACACCGAGCGTGGCTGCTACCAGTGTTATTGCTCTCTATTCCTGCTCACATAGGCTAGCACAAGCCACTACAACCCACTCGACACCTGTTTCCTTCTCCTGCTGAACCCTGCTGACACAGACTGTCTCTTAGACCCAGACAGCAGTACCTTCTACTACCTCTTACAATTTTGGATTTACCGGATACAAATAGTTGAAGTTTCACCGAACTCCTCTCCTCTAAATGGGATCCAGTGATCGTTAAACACAAGTATTTACTTACCTCTGATAACATGTATATTCATTGCCTTAACTTATTGAGCCACTCAAAATAGCTAATCTCTGTGAAGCATTGATTACCGCAGATTATCTCTCAGCTGGTGTGGCGTGTGGATTGAAATTGTTCTCTATATCTCTTGGATATTTAGTTGAATGAAGTGTTGAGTTATAACCTCTATGTGGTATGAAATAATACTTCCCATTATTATTATTATTTAGGACTTTGTCTTACACCTCAACATTGCTCTCATTACCTAAAAGCCAGCTTAAAGGAAACACCAGATCCTCTGAGTAAGTTAACCCCCGCAGTTGATCCATTGGATTCAGAAATAAATAAATATTACACCCATCTAGGATAATAAAAAGTGAATCTGTCTTACTTAAAGTGACATTAAACCCTCAGATTTTTTAACATAAAACAATACTGTAATGTGTGCCTTACTGCAATCCATGGTTGTTTCCCTTCTCTTTGCTGCTCTTCCTTTTAAATCTGTATCTGTTCTCATGCTGGGCAGAACTTCTGTTTTGCAGCAGACTGCCTTGTCTCTGGAATGGCTACATGGTGTCTGTGTATAAGTTTGCAACCTGAGCCAGCACTACAGGAAGAGGCAGTCAGCTGCAAAGGGAAGTTCCCCCCAAGCATGAGAAGACATGAGGATTTAAAAAGAAGAGCAGCAAAGAGAAGGGAAACAACCATGGATTACAGTAAAGTACACATTACAGTATTGTTTTATGTTAAAAAATCTGAGGGTTTAATGTCACTTTAAGGAAGCAGTGCCTGATAAATTCACACACTGAACAACATCACCACAAAGCTGAGAATGTTCTTTTTTTTGTGACCTGTCGCAGGGCCAGAGGAGTGAAGCACAATGTCCTGGTTAAGATGGAAGGCAGAGACTACCATGGGAACAAAGGAAGACCTGAGGCTCAAAACCACAATGTCCCTATGCAAGACCAAAAAAAAAGTTCCTTGCAGTATAAGGGTGCTAGCTGGGACACCAGCCTTGTTGAGGTAATAGCAAAAAAAAAAAACAGCAGACAAAAGAATGTCTAGGCTCAAACAGGGGCTTGGGAGCACAAAGAGAACAAATTGAAATCTTATGGAGTGAGTTTTTTGTTGAACCTGAAAGTCAGGAGGTCCACATATGGTGTCAACTACCTGTCACACAGGTCCTGGAACACCTTCTAGTGCAGAGACCATTCTCCCGGGTCCAGACACTGCTGGCGGAAGAAATCTGTCTACCAATTGTCAGATGACATTACCAGATGTCTAGAATATTGAGCAAAGGGAACTGCCTCAAAGAAAATCCCCTGTGGAAGGAATACTCTGGCATGGGAAGTGTTTGAGTGATGAGTCAGAACCGGTGATGATTTCTGAAGGTTTAGGATTAATCCGAACCTCTGCAATGTCTGGACAGTAAGGGACACGTTGTCCTCCAGAGCCCTCGCCGACTGTTTTCTCAACAGGTGATCTTCCATGTTGCCCACTCTGCAGTCTCTTCTGCCTTTTCGTGCTGGCTACAGCGGTCTGTGAAAGGGACACAGAGCTCTGCAGCCAGCACCAGCAGGTAGAAGAGACTGTCCACACAACACTTACCCCCGCCATGCTGTCACACGTCCGGAGAGGTCAGAGCGGCGAGGGAGCCTCGTTTGGTGGAGAGGTATTCCGGGGGAGGGGCTACGGGGGTCAATTGCCGAAGATAGTTGAAAAAATTTAAACGGCTGGTATCTGATCTAGGCATCGGGGCATTTTCAGGAGTACAAGTACTCCTGAAAATGCCCTGTATCGGCCCCGATACCGGTACTAGCATCGGTATCGGGACATCCCTAGTGACAAATGTAAACATTCAGGGACTTGATGTCCAAGACAGCTTTGACTGTATTGCATATCCTTACTATCAGTGCAACGTTTGGCAACCTTGCTACCAGTACAGCCTTGATATCAGTGGACACTGTTACCAGTAAACCTAGTTTCCTGTGTTACTTTGCTACCATGCTACCTTGCTACCAATGGTACCTTTTGTCATCAGTGATAACTGTACCATCTGTGCTACCAGATGTCAAAGCATCCCCAAAGGTCAACAGAACAAGGAGAGGAGGGGAAAGGAAAGGAGAGATTTGAAATCAGAAGGAATCCCTGCAGCCGATGGCTTAGAAGCTACTAAGGCTGCAGGTAAATTGAATGGTGAATCTGCTGCAGCAGCGCACTAGCAGGCTCAGACTCAGAGATCAGTCACAAAACATCTTAGTAATTTGGGATATAAAGCTGAGAAGGAAGAGGACCCAGCCACACCTGACAGAGGTAAGGAAGACATCACCACTATCAGGGAGTGCTCTACAAGCAGCCCTCCAACCCACTGGAGGACAGCGTGCTGGCAACATCAAGTTTAACAGGACTGTTCTCCATGTCTAGAATATGACATGCTGCAGACGCAGATTGGCAGGCAATGTACAGGTTGACAGCAGGTTCTGATGAAAGATTGAAGTTCCATGTGGCTTTATGCAGCAGGGGAAGCAGTGGGAAAATGGTTCCTCAATGCTGTTTAATGGTTCAAAGAGCTCAGAGACCCCATGCAGCACCTCACCCAGCAGCATGACGTCACTGTTGTCACATAGTGTTAACCCCTTTCATGGCAAAGCCGGTGGGAAGATGGGAAAATATGGCGCTCACAACCAAGAAAAATAAGGGAGCAACCAATGCAAGACAACACATCTATCTTCCTAGACAAGACATCCATCCTCTTAGGACACTAAGCCTATGTTTGTATTTTTTTTAACAGTGTCTAATCCTCCTGTAGATGGCGGCATAACCCCAAAGGTTTAAGACTTCCTGTGTTCCACAATAGGCGAGAAAGAAAAAGGATTTTTTGGTGAAAGAGTATTTTTTACACAAGCCACCTGAATCTGGAAATGGACTAAGACTTATCACTGTATTCATTTTCACTATGAGGTACCTCTCTGGGGGAATAAGGCTTAACCTGAATTGAAGAAGGTCCTTGATTCTGTGTTTTGGCAGTCTAGGAATATTTGATTTCTGGGTCATATAATGTCTGAAAGTGCTTTGGACTTTTTACATTCATCTCAATATGGTTTGACTCGTGATAGCCATTTCCATTTTCTGCAACTCCAAAATACATTTTGCGCTCAGTTTCATGGTCTTATGCCCTGAGTCAAGGATTTGATCTTACACGTGTCATATCAAATGGTTACAGAAAAGGGATGATACACCTTCAACGGTGGCTGCTGGGTTCGCAGGCACTCTAATGTACAGAAATCTTGTGATATGTGTTTACATGATCTCCTGGACCTGGGGAGGAGAAATGAGAAGATTGCTTGGGAACCCCTACCTCTTTGTCTCTGTGCACTAAAGATCTATATTATTCATCAAGTGTACCTTACCCCATGTAGTTTAGCTACATTTTCTGGAACTTCCAGAACCAGTCTCAAATGTAACTTGCTACATGCTTCTTTTTTTCCATTTAATCTGGACTTATTTAGTGGTCAACACCTTTTGGGTGCAGATTTCAAAATCTTTGCATAACCTTATGGGCTGTCTGATTACTCTTGTGCGTAGGTATATGCTTTGGGTATTTTGAAAGACTTACCTTTAATTCTGCGACACTCATGCTTTTTTATGAATTGCTATTCCAAGCCCACATGGTGACTGTTCTTCATTAGCTACTTGACTCCAAGGGGGTAATTTACTAAAACCCGAGCAAACAGAATCTGCAGCAGCTGTGCATAGTAACCAATAAGCTTATATCTTCAACATGTTCAGTTAAGCTTTGAGAATGAAAAAGAGAAGCTGATTGGTTGCCATAGACAACTGCTCCAGATTCGGTCTGCTCCAGTCTTAGTAAATTCCCCTCCAAATGTCTCAGTGGATGAAACTCCTGCATTAACCACTGCCTTCTAAGAAACTGGTTTACTCTCTCAGAGGCTGGGGTGAACTGTGTGTTCAGACACCTTTCTATCAGAGCCAGCATTAACCTTTTTTCAGCAGTTTGAGCTACAGTTGCTTCTATTGGATTGAACTACATGCCCTTGTATCTGTAAAAAAATAGGTCAAGCCAACTGGACTTGCTGTATTTTTTTTGAAGACATTTCACTGATCATCTAACCATCTTTCTCAATTCAGAATGGATGACCAGTGAAATGTCTTCAAGAAAAATACAGCAAGTCCAGTTGCCTTGACTTATTTTTTACAAATATACCATGACCTGGATGAATGAGAACCTTCACAGACATACATGCCCTTGGCTCCCCACGTACATAAAAAATCCTTGGCCAGGACGCATGGGCGCGGCTGACCAAGATGGACGCTCACTGATGAGCTCCGCGCCAGAACGGGAGATATTAAGACCCATCTAGCCTATCGCTGCCCTCAGTCTAGGACATTGCATGTGCCCTCAGGTCTGGGATCCTCTTGCCGACCGATCGGTATCACCATGTCCTGCACCAGAAGTCGGGGTGGTAAGCTAAGCCAACCTACGCAACACGAGGCTTTAGGCCGCACGGCAACCAAGCTGGTGCCAGCGCCGCTGACCCGTGACGACGATTCTCGTTTATCGGTCGATCCCTCAGACCCCCTCGAGGACAATTTGCCAGCCAGGCAGAACAGGAGATCACCCACTCCCTGCTTGCCCAGTTTGAAACGACCCTTCATAAAGCACTGGACAAGGTTTCCAAACAGATTACATCGCAACTCATAAAGGAGATCAGGGATGTGGGCAAACGCACTTCCACACTTGAATCTCGCTGTAACGACATTACCACCATTATAGAAGGACACAAAGATGACTTAGAGCGACTGCGCTCCCTGAATCTATCTCTCCTCACACAGCTGGAGGATTCTGAGAATCGAGACCGCAGATCAAATCTCCGCATTCAAGGGGTCCCCGAATCGGTCCTGGATTTGCAATCCACGATGACCGCACTATTACAGGAGTTGGCATCGGACATTCCCATCGAACGGCTGGAGTTCGACAGGATTCACAGGGCACTCACCAGATGCACGTTGGAGGGCTCTCCGCGTGATATCATAGTGTGCCTTCACTACTACCGCTCTAAAGAACGACTACTCCAGGCAGCGAGAGATACTGGGACTTTGCTGTTCCAAGGCTTCACCTACCAGATATTTTCTGATCTCTCACCGGCTACCATCGCCCGCAGAAGGGAATTCCGTCCCCTACTCCAAGTGCTCCAAGCAAAGAAGATCAGATATCGGTGGGGCTTCCCCTTTAAGTTACAGTTTTTCTATGACGGGAACATTTACACCTTTGCTAATGTGGATGAGCTGCGCGGATGTCTGGATTCCTTGCATCTACTGGGGCGTACCGATGCAATGGCTGAAGATGGTTCCTCCTTGTCCCAAACACCTACTGGAAGGGAGCGACCCACCCGATCATCGACCAACCTACCCCCATCCTCTGCCACTCCTAGGAAAGCACCCCAGCCTCCTTCTACTCCTGGGACATTTGGATGACTTTGTCTGCAGGACTGCCCCACTACATCGCAGGATGTGCCCTTCGCAGTTCCTTTCAAGAAAGCTGGCTGGCTCCTTTCATGTTTAACCGAGTGGAATACAATGTTGTCATTGAATTTGACTGTTTTGGGATCCCTTGACGCCAGCTTGCCTCCCAGAGACTGTGGACCAGTGGCGTAACTACCACCATAGCAGCCTACGCGGCCGCTATGGGGCCCGAGGCCAGGGGGGGCCCGGTCGCTGAACAAGCCCTTAGAACTGGCCAGAGGAAGAGAGGTGAGATGCTGTGCATCCACACTGGCCACTCACTCTGTGCACCCAGCCACTCTCTGCACTCACCCACATCACCAACTCTGTGCGCCCACCCACACTGCCACCCACTCTGTGCATCCACCCACATCGCCCACCCACTCTGTGCACCTACCCACTCTGCAACCCACTCTGCATACCCACCCACTTTGTGCACCCACCTACACTGCAACCCACTCTGTGTACCCACCCACATTGCCCACCCACTCACTCTCTGCACCCACCCACATCACCCACTCTGTGCGCCCACCCACACTGCCAGCCACTCTGTGCATCCACCCACATCGCCCACCCACTCTCTTTCCCCCCCCCCCCCCGCCACCCACTCTGCCTCCCCACCCACACTGCCACCCACTCTGTGCATCCACCCACATCGCCCACCCACTCTGCGTACCCACCCACATCGCCTACCCACTCTGTGCACCCACCCACACTGCCAAAGAAATTAGGGAAAGTGGGTTTATTGCACTGTGTAATTCTTCTTTGGTGTGGCAGTGTAATAACAACTTAAAATAACACTGCCAATCCAGTGAAGCAGGGGAAAGTGGGGTTACAAATTATAAACCCCTGTAGTATTTTAAATTATAATTATAACCCCCCTTGTGTGATTGCAAATTCCATTTTCCCAGCTTTATTGGTGGCACGGTTAAATAATTAGGCCTCGTTACACAGGACGTTCTGGCATTCCTGCAGCAGAAACATATATATTCTTGTGACAGGAATATCGGGTGTCCCACTTAGATGTGGCTGCTGTACCCACTGAAGTTAATGACTGGGTGACAGCGGCCATATCTGTAAGCGGCAGTCCACACGTAATGTACGCGATATGATTAAATGCAGTTTTGAATAGATCACTGTCTCTGGACGCACGTATCCTAAGCTCAGGGACACTGATCTATTGCAAACGGCATTTAATCGTATTATATAATAATAATAATAATGATAATATATGCTGTAGTTCAAGCACCAGAGGGGGGTGCAGGTTGGGGTGGCCCTATACAAAATTTTGCTATGGGGCCCTGTGATTTCTAGTTACGCCCCTGGTGTGGACATAGTGGGCTCTTCTCTGGTGCCCACCCGGGAAGTTGGTTTCTGCTCCTTTAAGTCAACCTCTCTTCCCTATCAGATGATAATAGACTTTTGATTGACGCCCCTATAGCCTTGGATGAGGTATTAAATTCTATTAAACTACTACCAATTGGAAAACGCCCGGGTCCTGATGGACTAAGTACCATCTATTATAAGAAATTTGCGACAACCCTCGCTCCACATTTACTTACCTGCTTCAACGCCCTGCATGATGGGGGGCACCTAAGACAGAAATCACTGATGTCCTCAATCTGTATGATCCCTAAACCTGAAACTGACCACACCTCCTTGACTAACTACTGTCCAATCTCCCTGATCAATGTTGATCTGAAATTGCTCACTAAAATACTGACCCTGAGGCTTCAGTCCCCTCTCTTGGACCTGATCTCCAGAGACCAGGTGGGGTTCATGCTGGTACGCCAGGCAGGAGATAGCGTGCGGAGGATAGCTCACCTACTCCATATATCTCATCAACGGAACCTCCAGACTATGCTATTGTCGCTAGATATTAGTAAAGCCTTTGACTCGGTCGGGTGGGACTACTTGCGCTATACCCTCTCCAGATGGGGGTTTGGACCCACTTTTATGCGCTGGATAGACTCATTATACTCTCTGCCCTCTGCCTATGTTCAATATCAGGGTTTCCACTCCCAGGTCTTTCCCTTTACCAGAGGGACTAGACAGGGCTGTCCACTCTCCCCTCTTTTGTTCACGCTAGCCATAGAAGTCTAAAGCGTTGAATGTATCCCTACCCCCATCACTATGCTCTTTACTGCAACAATCCTTCCCCTACCCATGGGTGGCCACAGCATTACCCTATCTGGAGATCCGTCTCACCCTTTCCTACGATCGTCGGTATCAAGCCAACTATCCTAGATTATTCTCCCATATGGAATCCCTGTTGTCCTCTTGGGAGAAGATTGGCAGGATTACGGCGGTCCAAATGACACTGCTTCCCAAATTCCTCTACCATGCGAGGGTTCTCCCTGTCCCCACCTTTAGACTTAGGCTGCTCCAACGGCGTATACTCCGGTTTATTTGGAAAGGATCCCTCCCGAGAGTATCTCATCTAGTTTTATCTATGGTAGCAAACTGTAGGGGGGCCTGGGACTCCCATTCTTTCAAAAATATTATCAGGCCTAGTTGGCTCCTCTGGTACACTGTTTTGGGAAGTCTGAGATGCCCCTTTGAGTCTCGCTGGAAGCCTATACCTGTTCCTCAATTTCCATCCTTAACCTCCCTTGGCTACCGCCCAAAATACGGGGGATCATCTCAAACATACTTTGAAAATCTGGGATGGACTGAGACGCCCTATGGGTTGGATGTCCCCCCATACTCTTCTGATGTCCATTCATGGTAACCTATTGTTCCAACCGGGATTTTCCAACCCAACTGCTTTTAAATCATGGCTCTTGGAACCCTTAAGTCTAATTAAAGACTTCTGTTCTGCACAGGGTATTCTACCATTCGAGACGCTCCGTGCTAACCACCAGCTAACCCGCAGACATATCTTCCAATTTCTCCAGATTAAACACATCCTGCAGACCCGTCTGGGGTCCCAGCGAAACCTTCCCCCCCTCACCCCCTTTGAGAGACTACTACACTATGGAACCCGGGGTTCAGGGACTATGTTGGCCCTATACGCCTTATTATTAGACAAGTTACATGCCTCCCTACCTGCCTACACCTTCAAATGGGAACAAGACCTAGGATGCTCCATCTTCCCTGACACATGGGCCCAGATATGGAGGACAACCTCTCAATGAATGTACAAACGATTGAGGCAAATTACAAATTGCTCTTCAGGTGGTATTTGGTCCCGCTCCGGATCTCCAGAGCTATCCCATCTTACTCTCCGAATTGTTTCAGGGGTTGCCGGGTGGAGGGTTCGGTCCTCCACGTTTGGTGGTCCTGCCCTAAAGTACGGAGATTCTGGCATAGAGTCTACCAACTGTTATACGCTGTTTCAACTAAATATACAGCGCTAATAACTCAATTAGTGAATGTTGAAAAAACGAAATGCAGGTGTATATACACAAACTGTTTTTAACATGCAACTGTGTCACTATAGTGCAATCGATGCTGGTATCTTATTAGTCCAATAACAAGTGACATGTGAAACACAATGTTATTAAATTATATTTAGTGTCAATAGGATTTTATTTGTAGAGGATCTACAAATAAAAAACCGTGACTGAAAACAAAATGTCAAACCATTGTCCTATCATGTTTCAAAACAAAAAAAAAAAAAATCATTTGTATCCTTCACATTCATTCTAATGTGTGATATATATATCACTGTGCAATAAACATACAGTGTATATGTGAACAAAAAAAAGTCTCTGTGATAATTTGACTCTGTGCAATAAACGTATATGTGAACAAGAAAGTCTCTGTGATAATTTGGCTCCGCTTCAATATAGGTGGTCGAGCCTCCCAGTGTTCGATGGTTTAAATAGTGCTTTTCTGGGGTTTGTATTGTTA